TCCCAACGTTCGTGGGACACTAAGCGCCCCGAATTCACCCCGCCTCGTCGCGGGAGAAGTCATTCTTAACGACATGACTTGAGCAACTTCTGTATAGGTACAGATGCCTCCCATGGTTCAAACTCGTTGTTGACTCACCGCTCCACAGTACTTGACCTTTACAGCCAAAGAATTCACCGGCAATCAAATGCCCATAGAGTAGCATCCTAACGATTAATGTCTCCGTTATTATTATTATTATTATTATTATTATTTTTCCACACACAGCACCAAAACAGAACTGTACCAGTCCTATGCATTTTCTACGTAAAGGAAAACAGTTGCTGTTGCTGAAACAGGAAAGAAATTTACTTTATCATGAAGGCTAACATCATCAACCCGCCGGAGAAGGATCCGAATTTGATCACGACTGTAGCTGACCAAGGTCAGGAAGGTCTCAGGCAAAAACCCGATCAAATTCAACCACTCAATCGTCGATTGCTCTGACCAAGGATAATCCTGCCATCACGACTCCCAAGCGCAGCAGCAAGCGAAACCCTTCAGAAACCGCCGAGGATGGCGCAATGAACGGACGCTCGCTCTTCCCATCTGAAGTTGCCCATGATCAGGACGTCACGGTCAACACTTGACCGAATCCGACCACTCCTTCGTCGATTGAGTTAACCAAGGACAATCTGCCTGATCCCACGACTTCAAAGAGCCAAGGCAAGCAACCCCCTCCTTCCAAAACCGCCGAGGATGGCGCAGTGCAAGGACGATCGCTCGTTGCCTACATCACAAAACTCAAGGTGTCACAGTTTTGCAGGCTCTACACAAAGGCTTGGAGATAGGAGGTGTTTGCTCTCGCAACGGCCCAACGCGTTATCACTACTGGCGAAAAGTTTGAGCGACTAAAACGAGAGCCAACAATAGCCAAAGCTCTGTCCAAGTTTAAGAAGCGACTTGCTTCCACGCCAGAGCACCCGACAGTTGCCAAGGCACACGATTCTCCCAAGAACCTCCATCCAAGCAATGACCCCATGGAACTTGTTGAAATCGTTTGGCATGCCTTGACTGAACGTAGATCCGGAATCAAGATGCACACCGAGATTGATATCCCAGTGTTTACTTCCATTGGACTTGAAAGGTTTCTTGTTATCTTTGGTCCATTGAGAACAGTGTTTCAATGAATCCATCTTCGAGGTTGACTTGTAGATCTGCATGTTCACGCTTCCATCGCTGACCATGCTGTCATCGTCCTTGAGAGTACTGGCAGCTTCTAGTTGAGCTTGCCATTTTTGCATTAGCATCTCTCCTCTGTCTTCAGTGGAGACCACTTTCTTCTTCAGAATCGGTCTCACACACACGTGTGCAAGATTCCATCCTGTGATTCTACCGTTAGATCGTTCATCAGCAGCAGAACATATGAACCGGGTACATCAGTAGCACCCGTACCACTCCTGTTGACAACACCTCGTTGCATATGGCTTCGATGTTGTTGACCAGTTGATTGCGTTCCTGTAACGCTAGACGCGGCATCCGACTGCGCTGCAGATGCAGCCGCAGGGACTTGGAGATTGGCTCTCCCTGCCCGTCTTGAAGGAGTAGTAGTAGTAGTAGTAGTTGATGGGTCACTGTATCGTCCTGGGTCGCTCCATTCCGCTTGTGTGTCCGGTCTTGGAGTAGGTCTCGGTGTCGTTGGACCTTTCTTTCAATTGTCCGGCTTATGTTTGATCAGCTCTTTTGCAACCTGATCGATCGTAGTCGGATATTCATTTCTTTGATCGTAGCCCTTGAATTCCATGGCGTAGGTCTGATTTGCTTTGTCCAACATGCTTTGGAAGCGAGACCTGTCACAGTTGTAAAAGAATGCACTTGCTTTGAATGCTTCTAGAACGTCTTTCTTGAACGTGTCTTAAAGCGCCTTGGTATCGTCCGGATCGTCCTCTGGATCGTACAAATCCAGGTACCCCATCGTCTTAGTCGCATAGACATGCAACACATCATTGCCAAGGATTTCGAATACTTGGTCAGCTTGGGCTTCGAATCGTCTTCTGTAATCATTTACAGACTTGTTTTGCTTCTGAGTGCAGTTTGTGAATCTCTTGAGAGATTCCATGAGTCCAAAGTGTTGCCACTCGGTCTCATCCGTGACAGTCATGAACGTCTTCATACGCTTCAACAACTTCACGTGGTCTGCTTGGAGTTCTACCCAATCAGTTTCATTGCTCAGTTTATCTCTCATCGCCGATGTGATGAAATGCTTGGTGATGATTGCAGCAACAGTATATTTATTTGTGTTGTAGATCACCTCCCTTTTGTCAATCTTGTTATTAAGATTTTCCCAGTTCCTATCAAGTTGAGCTTGTCTCAAGTTCTTGTGGAACTCAGTATTGGTCTTTTCCGGTTTGTAGACTGTTTGACTTCCTCTTAGAGCTTCGAAGTCCGCATGGGCCATATCTCGTACACTCGTGATTGCATCTTGAGCGTAGTCCAAACTCTTGAGTGCAATAGCCTCAAGTAATTACACCATCACCTGACCATGAGTATATTCAGGATTGTGAGGATGGTACTGTTTCTTTCATTTGGTTTTCTGTCCTTGAGACCCTCGACTGGTCTGCTGGATAGATCTTCCGCCACGGCCTCCTCGACCGCTTCTTCCTTGGTGTCTTCCACCAGGCATCTTGCTCTGTAGTCTCTCCTACTTTGCAAGGTTTAAAAGTTACCTTTGTTGATTGACTGTCAGATAATCAACTCCGTAGCTGTAACAAGAGCCTCAACGCTCTAGCTACCTCTGGAGTAAATCTGAGCTCAAATCTACGTCGGCTATGGATTGCCTACAATAGGAACAGGTGCCAGTGATGCTGGGCTTCTACCTGCGGATGAACAGTCTCACCACTTCCTATTGGATCTTATTCTACTGCTATTCTTGCCAGAAGTCGATAAACAATGATCTCCACAAACAGGTACAAAATATCTCTTCCGGAAGCCAGCTGCGTCAGCTCTCACCAGCTGCCGCGGCGTATAAAGCACATACGCACATGTTCTTCACAAACTAGTCACAGATCCGGATCTACCTTCAATACTTCTGCGATGGTTTTGGCAAAAATACTCCAGTTAGGATATATGTCATCTGCCAGAAAGTGCAGCCAATCTCGATGCTGATTGTTGATAATATATTCATCAACTCTAGTGTCAAAGGATTGGTCAAAGATTGAACCAGAATTGTACTCTTGTCCAGTATATTGAGATCATTCAAACTTCCAGGATCCGAAATGGACATCCAAATGTAGAGAATATTCCGAAAAAAACCAAAAAGTAAAAACAACACGCACATCCGGGTTCCGAGACACCACCTCTAGTACTTCTCCTACACAGAGCAGCCGTAGCGACGCTGGAAAAGAGGTTGTTTTCAACTGGAAAACCAAGGATCAAGATGAGCAAAAGAAAGACAGGCAAGGTCCCCAGAGCACAAACAGTATCCGAAAATGATTCATATTTTGCTCCTGTAAGCCTTGTCCAAAAAGAACGGGGAAAAGTGGCCAAAATCTGATGCCTCTGCCTTTTTGGGCCTGTTGGACGACAATGACAGCAACGAAATCGCTGATGACGAGGAGGATAACATCAAGATTCACGGTCAGAAAGCAAACTGGGATATCTATTATTTCAGAAGTCATTTTGTCCAAAAAGAACAAGCAAAAATGGTCCAATCTTGCCCATTCTTCGCACCCTTTTTGGGCATTCCTGATGATTCTGGCGGTGCCATCAAATCAGTTTCCGATGATGAGGAAGACAAGGCCATCCGAAAGGTCTCCAGCGCCCAAGCACCATTTCCAATGGACCTCCAAGATGCTGTTGAGGATAAACCTTTCCAGTATTATGCTGACAAATTTGAAAGGTCTCCCAAACACACCTATTGCAACAATCCAACCCTTGGCGACCTACTATTGCAAGGAAAGTGTTATCTCTTCCATCAGCCTTCTGTAGGTTGGCAGATGCCTCAATTTGATTTCCCTTTATGGATGTTCAAATGTTGGCATCATTCCCACAGACAAATAGGCACAACACCACTGATCTGCAGCCTCACCATGCCAAGATACAAACTACTGGCTCTGACCCTCTTTGCTTCTCCTTAGACCACAACCAGCCGCCTTTTTTATGCTTGTACCAACCTCAATGTTCTGGAACACTGTGCCCATGGGACGCTCTCCATTCATTTGGATCAATATATTCAGGGTAGAAGGGAGCAAGAACACAAGGTTAAATCAAGCTTCAATACAGGCAAGCACAACAAAAGAAAAAACACAGAAAACAAAATAAAAATACGCCGCCTCGAGTGGCAAGATCGTCTCTCTACATGTGCAAGGCTCCAAAGTAATATGCGATAGAGCAACTTCCTTGGGATTGGATGCCTCAAACTGGTTTAACAGTACTGGACTCACCTCCGTATGGTAAATGGCCATGACAGCCGTTAACGGCAATCTAGAAACTTGAGATAGTTTTAACACGATTAATGCATCAGATTTAATATAATAACATCCAAATGTAGAGAAATGGATCACTAATTGCCTCCAGCACCAGAGACTTTTTTTAATCCTTGGTGAGAATGTTGCCCAGCAAGTGCCACTGGAACGCACCACAACGTGCAACGCACGCAATTGAAATGTCCGTTAATTGTTTCATATGTTTTTTTTTGAAAACGTGAAGTGTCCGTTGCCATTTTAGCGCGGGCGCACTGTGAAAATCGGGCATGCCCCGTGCGTCCATTTGACGCAAAACAGGCACGCCCCGCGTCAATTTGACGCAAATCCGCAATTTTTTGCGTCAAATTGACGCAAGTTGCGTCAATCCCGTGTCAAACTCAAGAAGTTGCGTCAATCCCGCGTCAAACAGATGCAGTGGCGTCAATCCCGTGTCAAACTCAAGCGAGGCCAGAAACACAATGTTATAAGAGCACAGTACAGGTTCTGACACCAGCTACGTCATTATGCTATGGGGCTACAGTTCTGGATCCGTTTCTCAGAAGTACTCGGCTTCATAGTCAGGTATATCCCAAAATTTCACAGTTCCAAGCTCTAAACCAATTTGTATTGATACCAGGACAGCACCTACCGCAAACGTATGCTTATAATAGTTATGGATCCAAATACCTCGCAATAATTGGAACTTTTTCATCTTGCAAAAGACACATTCTTGTCTTGCACGAACAACAACCTTTTGCTGCTTTGCCCAACGCGATTTGGCAACTTGAGGATTCTTCAAACAGCATTCAGCTGAACACCCAGCATCAGCCTTGACACATTTGCCTGCGTCCAATTTTGACTTCAGCTCCTCTTGGAAAATCTTTATATCCGACTTGCCACCCTTGTGCCAACTGCTCCAATGGACAATATACCCGTTGTGAATAGAGCTAGCAACATCATACTTGAGGCCTGCTTTGTGGCGTTTAACATCCCACATTTTACTGTCAAACGGCCACTTATCAAAGCACCCAAACATAGTAGCATTGTAGACAATTGAAGCCATTGTGACCAACTTGTTCCATCCAATCAGTCGGAGATCCATCCGAATCACCTGGTGGTGTAGGTCATGCACAAGAGGAATGAAAATCCAAGCCCATTTACGAAATGTATTTGCACTGCAACTAACCATCTTTGCATTGGCGTCATCGCCAGCATACTTCTTGAGTAGAACATAATAAGCATATAGAAGATGACGTGGGGCGCCACCCTTGGGAATTTTGTTGCTTTCAGCTAGTCTGTTCCAAATGTTACTAGCTACCTCGGGCAAAGTGCCAAAGAAGCATGCCCACGTTCTTGCTTGTGATTGGTCGGTATACGTCCAGTTTTTTTTTGGTTTGGCGTGCGTAATGTGGCAATCGCAATGGTTTTGAACTGGGCTGGACTAAATGTTGGGACCCGCACCACATGATGGCCTTGCCGTGTTTGCTGCATGGTTTATAGTCCGGAGGAATCAGACCAAAATTTGTGAGCGCGAACTTACGTTTTCAGGTTCTCAGTTTTTAGGTAACTTTAAACCAACGGCATTCTTGGGTTTGCTTGAAACGCGCACCAGATGTATGTAAAATTGAACTTTCCTGGGACTGAGGGCATTGCAGCCGGCACGAAATTATGTCGCTCAACGGAATGAAAACACGATCGGAGACTAGTTGTTAAAACTCCAATACTTTTTCATAATTTCCAGCAATCATGCACAAACAAGGCGTGAGAACAAAGGTACAAAACATCATACAGAGACAAAACTAGCTGAAGAGCAAAGAATGAACAAGGCTGCAGAGATCCAAACACTTGTTCTTCTCTTCTTCTTGCACATTTCAAGCAGTGGAAAGCTCGGGTTGAACCCACGGACTACTAGCGGGACATTCAACAAACGGCACGACAACCCAGGAACTGTTGGACAGTGGCAAAAGTGGAAGACTATTGCACCTGGGACAAAACCCAATACTAGAGATATTTTTTGCACTTAAGCCAAGTACGCGGCCAAACTTGATTTGAAATTTGAAGAAGAAGGTAAGATATTGATCTAATGCATTTGTGATCTACCTATGCATTATACTGACTGTGAGCTTGTCTCTTGTCTTGAGCAGGCACTGTACCATCGTGCGATCCTGATCTGAGCCTAGCTCCAAACTTCCCACACGCTGTTGTACCACCAGCATACCCAACCACAACTGCATCAACTGGTTCAGTGTCATCAACAAGAGCAGATCCTCTTACGGTGGCCGCATCATGTTCAAGCAAAGATTCATCATATTCAAGCGAAGATTCATCGAGCAAAGAACCCATCATAAAACTCAGAAATCAAAAATCAAAAACTATTATAAAAGGTAGAAGATTATTTTCCATGCACAGCACCAAAACAAAACTGTACCAGTCCTACGCGTTTTCTACGTAAAGGAAAACAGTTGTTGTTGCTGAAACAGGAAAGAAATTTACTTTAACATGAAGGATAACATTGTCAACCCGCCGGAGAAGGATCCGAATTTGATCATGACTGTAGCTGACCAAGGTCAGGGAGGTCTCAAGGCAAAAACCCGATCAAATTCGACCACTCAATTGTCGATTGCTCTAACAAAGGATAATCCTGCCATCACGACTCCCAAGCGCAGCAGCAAGCGAAACCCTTCAGAAACCGCCGAGGATGGCGCAATGAAAGGCCGCTCGCTCTTCCCATCTGCAGTTCCCCAAGTTCAGGACGTCACGGTCAACACTCGCCCAAATCCGACCACTCCTTTGTCAATTGAGTTAACTAAGGACAATCCGCCTGATCCCACAACTTCAAAGAGCCAACGCAAGCATCCCCCTCCTTCCAAAACCGCCGAGGATGGCGCAGTGCAAGGACGATCGCTCGTTGCCTACATCACAAAACTCAAGGTGTCAAAGTTTCACAGGCTCTACAAGAAGGCTTGGAGACAGGAGATGTTTGCTCTTGCAACGGCCCAACGCGTTATCACTACTGGCGAAAAGTCGCCTCGCTTTTGGGAATTTTCGCTTGTGTTTGACCTGACATTAATTGTTCAACGCGCCGAGCCGTTGACTTGCATGTGTCTAGCGGCATCCGAATTCTTCGCCAATCCTGCTATCATTCCTCACATTGTGGAGGAATTTGAGCGACTAAAACAAGAGCTACAAATAGCCAAAGCTCAGTCCAAGTTTCCACCAAAACAAGGTTGGAACCAGACCAAACTTCTCCGCTATTTACACACAACAACAATCCTATTTTATGACGTCTGCGCTGCCCATCAGAAGTGGTCACCAACCATGGGCTCAAATTACAAAAAATCACAAGAGATGGCTTTGAAATCGACAAGGACTGCACCTGAGCACGCCCAGGACGGTCTGGAGGCAACAACCCGCTCGAATTCTACCACCCTATTGACGGTTGACCTTGTGAAGGACAACCCCTGTGAACACAAATTCTCCATGTTGTACAGCATATTTGACTTGTTTCTTTCTCTGGAAAAGATACAGCAGACCGATTTTCTTGGTCTACCCTTCCAAATCCCCACCAACAGAGTGGGAGCGCCAATCTGCCCATTGACAGATGACTTGAGAGAATTGCATTCAATTCTTTCCTTGGAAAAGGTACCCACAAAATTCCTCTGTATCCCAGGAGAAATCCTTGCATCTTGTTTGTACTTCCCCACCAACAGTGGGAGCGCCAATCTGTCCCCTGACATGATCGACTAGAGCAACTTTTTTCTTGAAAAATGCCTCAACGTGGTTCAAACTTATCTGACTTAAAGCAGCATAGTTCCTGGCCTCTACAGCCGTATTACACCGGCAGTTGGATACTCTAGAAGTAGCATAAAAACCAATTAATGATTCAGTTATATATATATATATATATATATATATAGAGCAAAGAACCCATCAGAGGAGAAACCTCAGCTACTATGCTCTGTAGGTGAATTTTTGCTTGGAGATTTTCTCTGTCCAAGCTGCTGTAATTTTGTAGTGAAAGACGGACCCACAGAGCTCAATATCTCCACCAATACCTCTGCCGGTGAAGATGTGTAGGTAATAAAACCAAAATATCTGTTGGTGAATTTCATCGAGTGCTTCGAACTCATTTATGAGGTCGTTGCGTCTTGCTTGGATAATAGCATCATCGCCATTATGTGCCCCAGCTTTGTCAATTTCCATCAGATCCATTGTTCAATATCCGGTTACTTGCTCTGTGGACTCAGATGGCAGTCGGTACGACGGTCACAGTGTAAATAACTTCTTTGAAGAAATGGGCAACTCTCATTGGAACGAGAGGCGAGTGGACAACTCCAACTTCCATTCATTCACATACTCCGATGTTTTCATCACAATGATGAAATTTTGAAAACCGAAAAGATGCCAAATCCAGCCAGAGATTTTCGGTTTTGGAAAATCAGATGGGTAAAAAACACATTTCCACGCGAAAACGAAATTTGGCATACGGATTCTACCTGCCTCAGCCAATCAGAAACTGACATTTTCCAACCACTTTTATTGGTCTAGAACAGACATGAAATATTTTACCGCACAAAAGTTTTAATCTAAACGAAGGCTACAAATTTAAAACGCGTGAGAAAGGCTATTCATATTTATAGTTAGGCCAAAGTCAAAATACATTAGTTTTATCAAATAAAGGTGACTGTGCTATAGGATGCGAGATGCGTTGTACTGATACGAACGTGTACGATTGTAAGCGGTCTGTGAGTAGTAAGGATAAATCGGCTGCTTACGAAAGCTGTTGATGAACGATGAACACACTCTTTTTAAGAATACGTTTGATTACAATACTGTCTACCGTCTACCATAGCTACTACTTCGTAAGTCAACAACATCATCGTAACGCAGTGACAATAATATTTACATGGTTTATCAGATCCAGCAATAACTGCTGAAAGTTATTCAACGAACAAAAATGAAAATGAAAATGAAAATGAAAAATACCACGACCACGAAACGGCATCGAGCGTACTACGAACGCTATGATGGGTGACACAACACCAATGGCAAATGTTGTAATGAATGGGTGCCGCAACACTAACGAAAACTGCAATCACTGGTGATGTAACGCTGTGATGGGTGCCGCAACACCAACAAAAACTGCCTTGATGGGTGCCGCAACACCAACGAAAACTGCTTTGATGGGTGCCGCAACACCAACAAAAACTGTAACGCTGTGATGGTGCCGCAACACCAACGACAACTGCCTTGATGGGTGCCGCAACACTAACAAAAACTGCTTTGATGGGTGCCGCATCACCAACAAAAACTGCTTTGATGGGTGCAGCAACACCAACAAAAACTGCTTTGATGGGTGCCGCAACACCAACGAAAACTGCTTTGATGGGTGCTGCAACACCAACGAAAACTGCTTTGATGGGTGCCGCAACACCAACGAAAACTGTAGCCTTTAACACACACAAAAAACAAAAAAAAACGAAAACTTTAACTAACAATACGATGTATGACATTGATATAGGCAACATGGCCGCCATCCCTCCTCTCTTCACCGTTCATGACAATATGGTCATTTGTGGCACTAACAATGCAACCCTATTCCAAGGACGTACGCAAGCTGAGAGAATTGCTTATGAAATATTCTCTGATGATTTTCACACTACAATGGATGTATCCATTGACGAACTTAACGACGAACTCAAAACGCTTGCAGGAATGACTGCTGCACAAGGGCAAATTCGATTGATGCCTGGCATCAAGAAAAATATTCGCGCCTTCATTCAATGGTGCAGGGACGAATTCCGCATGGGACGGGACCCAGCGACAGTACAATTTCCAGTCATTGATGCAGCCCAACTCCTTCGACGCATGAAAACACACGAGCAATATGTGTATGGCTCCAAGTTGATGTCACAACAAGCACTACCCCAAGACTTCACCAACGACGTCACATGGGAGGATTGGCACCCCACGTTTGTGAACTACCTCCGTACCATGCCAGGACGAGACGGAGTCCCGCTCCAATATGTGGTCCGAACCAACGAAGCGTCAGTTCCGACATACCACAAAGACTTCCTAGAGATGTACATCCAAATGGCACCACTCAACGGCGAAGCCTTCACGATGGACAACGCCAAAGTTTTAGTCCTCTTGCGAAAATTCATCGTGGGCAATACCCAGGCCGAGGCGACACTACGAGCCATTAATGTTGAAGGCAAAGGAAGAGATGCATTTATCGCCCTACGCACCCACTACGAAGGAGAAGGACTCCTAGCCCACGACATCGTCGAGGCCGAAAACACAATCAAGAACCTATACTACGTGGGAGAAAAGCCTACAATGAACTGGGCCATGTTTGAACGCATGCTGAAGAAAGCATACGCAGCATCCGACAAACATGAGGGGAGAGTAGTACATTCGGAGGCAATGAAACTACGTAACCTGCAAACCAAGGTTACTGCATCGTTCCTACAACTGAACAAGACGGCAATTGACACGGAAATTGGCAAACGGCCGATGGTGATGAATTTCACGACGGCACTACAAATCTACCGAACTGCAGTGAGGGAAAAGTTTCCCCAAGGAGCCAACAATGCTACTGACAGGGGACGACACTTGGGTGAGGCTCGAGCTAGTAACGATAGGAACAGGCGAAACGACGACAGGAGCAGGAGCCGAAACGGAGGAGGGAGAAACAGACACAGAGATGAAGAAGAGATTACCCTGAGCAATGGGGAGAAGATCTGGTACCACCCCAGTTACCACTTCCCCCGTGATCAGCTACGGGCAATGACTGATTCCCAACGAGAACGCATGTCAAACGAAAGGGCTGCACATCTTGCACGCCAAGGAATGCCGGCAAGACAAACGCGACAGGACACCACGGCAACACAACTGTCTGAGTTAAGAGCAGAGATAGCGTCACTCAGATCAAACAACGTCCCTGGGGCTGTTGAAACGGGAGAATCAGCTACACGTATATCACAGGTGACAATGGGGACTGGTGGAACTTCCGTAATGGGCGGACGCAACCAACAAGCGAGCGGGCGCAACCAACAAGCAGATGGATCGCCACCATGATCCGCGGTAGGTGAGGTCAAACGAATTGTGCGAGTGATCTCATCCAACACAGCCACATCCCAACAACCGGTACAACAACCGCCACCTGGAACGCTAGCAAGTAACGAAATGGACACCAATGCCGACACTTGTTGCCTTGGCAAGAACTTTGTGATCATGAGTTACACACCAAGATCAGCAGATGTATATGCATACGACCCCGCATTACCACCGACAAACCTCCCTATTGTGTCGGGAGCAACTGCTTTTGATTGTCCACAGACTGGTAAAATGTTCATCTTGATAATTAACGAAGCACTCTACTATGGGAACCGATTGGACCATTCACTAATCAACCCAAACCAGGTACAAAGTTTCGGAATTCCCCTATGGGATAACCCTTTTGACGAAACAAGGCATGTTGGTATTGAATCCAAAAAGATATTCATAGCATTAAAGGCAAAAGGCACAAAGTTACTTCTTGATTCGAGGGCGCCAACTGAACAAGAACTTGCAACCTGTCTCCACATCGACCTGACGAGCAAGGTGCCGTGGAACCCAGGAACTGTCCAACTTGGTAAGGTCTCCGCAGCCCACGTCGTGCTATTTCTATTTCCATAATAAAAATTCGGATGTCAATTCTTGCTCTTCTACTCCTACTCTTTTCTTCCCTGTATTCACCACTTCTATTCCAATCATTGTAGACTTGATCAAAGTAGCTGAAGGGAATGCAAACCTTTGTCGAAACCTTTTAGCACGAGTGCTGTCTTTGTCCCAAACTGAATCAATAGCTGCAATAGCATCTTCGTTTCTATGCTGATGGTGGTCGTCGGAATTCCTGTTGTAGAAATTGTAAAATGGAGAGTTGTAGACATCCTTTTTGACTCTTGGCGCTCTTGGGCCCCGTCCCCTCATGTCCACTGATGATACTGACGAATCGCCTTGGGACGAACCCTCACCATCAATGACACAATTGCGGAAAGATCCTCAAATTGAGGTCAAAGTCTTAGAAGAAATCAAAACCAATATCAAATTCAAATTGGAAGGGTGCCTCAAAGGTGCCAATGGAGGTCTTGCTTAAGTCCTGACTGCCATCACTCAAAGATCTGCTGTTGGAGTCGCGACTGCTGTTGCTGTTGCTAGTACTGTCGCTACCACTGGTTGTACTGCTGCCATCATCACTATTCAAGCTCATAGGTTGGTAGGACGAGTGGTCCATATTGTCGATGTTGTTGGAATCCAGTAGATTGCTTGATATGTGGTGTTGGAGGCACTTGGTTGTGTCAGAACCTACGCATTACAATGGTTGTGGAAGATTCGGCTGAGACAGGCAAAATCCGGCTGTCGGTTTTCGGCGCCGAGATATTGCCCAAATATTCGGCCGCCGACCAACCGAAATCCGGCCGCCGACTTAGTTTTGGAGGGAAAATGTTCGTGTGGACGTGTTTTTTTGACGAAACCGAAAACCGAGAAACGAAAAAGACCCAAAACACTCGGTTTTCGGTTCGCGTGGAAACAGCCTAAGCTGCTGAGCAATCGACACGACACATCTGAGGACACCTTCGCAAGCCCGCCATTACAGGCCGCTTCTGGTTACGAGTATTCAGGTCAACATAACGAATGAATGGTCCAGCTTGAGGAGCCAACAGTTGAAACGTCCCAGGTTCCAGTCAGTCTTGGAAAACCCTCTCTTAGAGTGAGACTAGAGGCTTACTATTCTCTGATCGATCCAGAACGATTGCAAGACGGCACAAAATGGAGACAGATCTTTGATGAAGTTTACACAAAAGTACGTCTCGAATGATATCTTTGACTATTACCGGTACCTGATATATACCTCAAATCATCCAATTTCTTCTTGAAGTACGGAGGTACTTACACCGGAGAGAGGCGACTGTCATCAAAGCTTACTAAAAAGTATGGTTCTAGGGTCAAGTTATTCCTGGCTGAACAGACACAGAAGAAGCATGAAGAGTCCACAACTCTTCGCTTCGACGAGTCATGGTATGAAGTACCGCAGAAAAGGTCCGGTGTTATTAAATTTTGTTCGGATCAGTTTGATCCAGTTACTTTGTTAGCTTCGTCGGAAGGTGAGGGGAAGAGTATCAATCCGATAGTTCTTGAAAACTAATCTAACTCATTACGAAACGCAGCCGAAGTTCGAGAACGGAACAATTATTTTGATAATTACTCGGTATCATGTCTTGACAACACTCGTCAATTTGCTAAGTTACTTCCTTTTGATGATCCTTTGTATTGTGACACTAAATCTGCAAGGAGAGCGACACATGGGAAACAGACTGTAGCTAAAAGGATCCCACAAACGAAATCTTCCCATCCTTTCGTTCATATTGCCAATTCCCTTCAACCCGGGCCAGGTGCAATGCTACAGAACCTTCGACAACAACGGGTGTGTGTGATCACTCGATATGTGAATGCTATTCGCGGTTCACTAAGAGGTACATTAGTCGCCTTCGACAAACATCTAAATATGGTGCTTCTTGATGTTGAAGAGACTTACACCTGCAGACCTTTGGAACGAGGAATCATGGAAAACATTCAGGTCGAAGTTGAAAGAAGACGAAATTTCTTAGAATCCCAAAGCCTAGGCGTCTCCAAGTTTGTGAAACGACGCAGAATGAAGCAGATCATGCTTCGCGGTGATTGTGTTGTGTCGGTTTACAAGGATCCAGAAAAGGTGCTCTAAAGCCACGGATTTGATTGCGGTTCAATTACTGTATCCTTCGAAATCGCCATTCGATCCTACTGGGCTTTCTTGATACATCTTTGAAATGAAATGTGCTGCTGCAGATGCATTTCTATCGTCTTCCAAAAATCTTCGACTTTCAAACGCCCCGCCGCCATATTGCTTCAATACGCCATGCAAGATTGAAACATGGATTGCCCCACCACCTTCCCACCAAGTTTCGGCCTCGACTTTTTCGGAGTCAGCAGTCTAAGATGCAAGGACTGAACAGGAGAAAGGTCTTCATAGAATGAATGCTACAAAAATACGTGGTCGACTCTTACCATGATTGGGACAAGCAGCGGTTCAAATTCTGGTTTCCCAACTTCCGTTCCTGAGGTGACGAGTTCGCGCTCCCAAATGCCTTTTGCGTTCTCCCCTCTGATAAAAAGAGAGTTGCCATCATCGGACATCCTGAGGTCTTCTTTTGTTCTTCCAATAAACCCGAGAAACAACGTGCGAACAAGCAGTGGTTGGCCAAGATTGGCAAGGTAGCGATCATAGTCCTCCTTAAACTGGTGGTCTATTAGAAGTTGCCAGCTGCCGTCAAAGTCTACACCCGTCGTAGCTAGTGCCCAACGTTCTCCTGCTGGAGAAAGATTTTCTCCCCAGATTGACAGTGGGTCTACTTTCTGTAGTCGCGATGGCTAGCTTTTTACTTTGGTTTTCCTTGAATGCCTCGGTTGTGTCAAGCTCATCGTGAATTTGTATGGAATGTATCTCTTTAGAACGGAACGCACCGGCTACCTTCATGAGTGATTTGAATTCGCTGAGGATAATCAACCTTGAAAATAGTTTGAAAGGACGTTTCATGACTGCTTCAAGGAGTTTTAGGAAGAATCGTGTGGCACTCTGAGCATACCCATGCCTCCCCCTTTGAAAGCCGATGCATGTGGTCGTCTTCAACAGCACAGGTGGCAACGATTCCCACCTTCCAGCTCTCTTGTCTGAAAATATTTTAACCGTTTCCTGGAACACCCGGCAAATGTTCAGACCGAGTATTTTCGGGACACTGATCGCAAAGTTTGACGTGCTCGTGCCCGGAGAAATAAAATTATATTTTTAGCTTCGAAAAATCTATGTTATTTCCCTTTA